CGCCACAAAAACACTTTCTTTCCGTCTGCAGCTGGGCTCATTAACAAGGCCCGGACCCCCCTGCTGACACTGACTCTTAAACCCACCCTGTATATATGCATTACATTAATGCACTCCCGTTGGCTTTTCTATCTTGCACATTGTAGATATCTTTCCTGTACAGTTTTAGATCTTTCTATCTTTATCTTAACAAATGAGTCAACAATATTCTGGTATGATTTGCCAAAAGATCGTCTGTGCCATTTTAGATTTTGAAAACTGAAGGGTGCTTCAAACTTTTTAAGTCATCATGACAGCATGCATAACTTTAAAAGCTTTACATTTTGCATTCATGTTCCTGCATTGAAAAGCTTCACATATACAATGTTTTTAATTTATTTATGTTTCCCCTTCAGGTATGGCTTTGTCATTGCAGTCACCACCATTGACAACATTGGAGCAGGTGTAATCCAGCCGGGAAGAGGGTTTGTCCTCTATCCAGTCAAGTACAAGGCCATTGTGTTCCGTCCATTCAAAGGGGAAGTGGTGGACGCTGTGGTCACTCAGGTTAACAAGGTGAGAGACAATACAGTGCCAGTTTAATGGCCACTGTGCAGATTTTTTTTAAAGCCGGAAAATTGTTCTTGTATGATGAGGACATGTGTAATCTGACATACTATTTCCCTCTGTGATCTCCAAAGCTTGCCGCCACCATCATCTTGCAACACTGCGCTGCTTGCTAACATTTTCTAATGTCCTTAACATGTGCATTTACTTTATCAAAATCAGTATTTTCAATACACAACCAGGGTTATAACTGGTTATTGTAATGACCAAAACTCAAGTTTACATATGCTTTCTAATTAATCATGTAGTTAACAGGTAAAATAAAATCTCTACTGTTGATCTTTATTACTGTAAATGTGCCTCCAGTGAAGAGTTTAAGCCTCTGTAGTGGTTGATGGGTTTTCTCTGTTTGTTGCAGGTTGGGTTGTTCACAGAAATTGGCCCAATGTCTTGCTTCATCTCTCGCCATGTGAGTCAACTTAACATCTATAACTGGTTGGACCTAATACGCTATTCGATTTATTTCATCATTTTCTCACGATAAACTTTGTTTTTGCAGTCCATCCCCTCAGAAATGGAGTTCGATCCCAACTCGAATCCTCCTTGTTATAAGACAGTTGATGAGGTAAGAATATTCGTTTCTTTCTAAATACCAGCCGCAGGTTAAAAAACATCCTTATTACTTATTACTAAAATAAATGTCACGTTCAATAAAAAGAATTGTTTACTCACTTTGTCTTTAACACGTTATAAACTGAAACACACAGGTAGTTATAGTACACCTTATATGTATACAGATTTGGTATTTGTTGTGATTTGGCAGTTCAGAGTGCATCACTTATGATCATAAACTAACACAGTTCAACAACAACAACAACAACACAAGGCTTAGCAAGTCAGCTAATATCACTTACTAGTCCAATAGCGTCAAGGCCAGCTTGCCGACTGTCTTGCTGGCATTCTCTTCACACAACGATTCACACGGCGAATAGTCAATCCGAGTTGTACCCTTCTCCGGCAGCTTCTCTCTCTTCTTCTCTTCTTAGCTTCCTGTCTTCCTCTTTGGTTCCTTAGCCTCTGCCGTTAGGTATGTCCATAAATGCTGCTGAGCCCTGTTAGATCGCCCGCTCGCTTGGTTTTGGTTCTAGCACGACGCCAGCACTGCTCTTAAACAGCGGCGGAAACGCGTTAGTGCTCTGAGCAACCAATCACAAGCAAGCTTACTACCTAACAGCAGCTACATTTCCCAGCAGTTACTTCACTGCCCATCAGGAAACTTTGTAAATCACAGAGTTGAAGCAGAGCAGCAGGAGGAAATCAGAAGGAAAACTAGAAAACATTTTCTCCGTAAAATATGATCCAGTTTCTTCAGAATCAGTGACATTGTCGGTGGTGTGTGACTACTGCCGGAAAACGTTAAGCACTTGTCCGACCTGGAGCCAAAGTTAGATACAGGATAAGAATAACAAGAATAGGCGTACGGGGTGTGGAGTGGGATGCAAAGTATTATGCAAAGTAGTGGTTGATACTCCTTTCATTTTAATGTCGCTCAGTCTTGAATTTAAGGATGATGGTTTCTTCTTTTCTTGTTAAGGACATCGTAATCCAACAAGATGATGAGATCCGGCTAAAGATTGTGGGAACAAGAGTGGACAAGAATGACATCGTAAGTGTCCGGCCATATATTGCACCTTCGAGATAGGCAAAAAGATGTCACCATATCTCAGATGTTACACAGTAGTTTATAGAATGGATGTATGTTAATTTACAGTCAACCAAAAACAAGCTTTCCGTGTTTTTCAGTTTGCCATTGGATCTCTCATGGATGATTATCTGGGTAAGTATTACACAGAACATTGTCATATAGTTGGTAGATCTATATGACAGGCTATATGACAGGCTTGAATTGATAAAATGCCATGCATAGATTTATTTTAATGTCAAATTATTCTGCACAATGAACTAAGTTATAAAAATGTTTGTTTTTTTCTGTTTTATGATTAGTCATTGAACTTGCCTTCTTTACTTATTTCCAGGTCTTGTGAGCTGATTCGCCCCAGAGGGAATTTCACATGTGACATTTTATGTTGTAGCCTAATCATTTCCATAATGAAGAATGTAAGATTCATTTAACGAAAGGCTTGATAAACTGTCATATTTTGTTTTTTCTTTTCTTTTTTTTTTTTTTTTACATGTAATAAAGTATTCTTATTTCTAATATCTCTGTATTATTTTCTGTGTTTTAACTGTCACGGTATGTGATTAATAGTCATTTTAAATTCAGATCGATTCAGTTTTGAAATGGGACAAAGAATCGGCCTGTCGGTGCAAAACATAAAGGGACACGTGAACGCGGACATTTAAAGTGCGCGCACGTCTCTAGGCCGTAAATACGTCAGCGCGCCCTCGTTCTTCCTTTCTCTCGTCCTGAAGATGGCGGCAGGGGTGAGTAAGATGGAGAGATGACCGGTGATGGCGCTTTCTTGTAACTTTCCTGGCACAATCCGCCCTAAATCTAGCCCATCTGCCCTCTTGCTGTGCAGCCTTCCCCGTAGACAGTGTCTTCGGTCTGTTAGGGAGCCATTATCGGCGTTATTTACAAAGAATTTCATTCAGAGTCCATTGTAGCTGAGGTGAGCTATTGCTATCCTGACGTAGCCTTCACAGTGAACGACGCCCCTCTCCAGGGCCAGGCTTGTGCCACGTTACCTCGGCTGTTTTCAAGCTATGGAAAATGGCTTGTGTATTTAAAGGATGTTTTCGCTTAACGTCGGTGCTTCTATCCTGTTCGTGTAGTCCCGAGGCTAACTCGTATTTGACTTCATTGTCTGAAAGCGATGTAAACTAAGACCATCTGGTTGTATTGCCGGTTATGATAGCTAGCACTCGTTAGCATTAAAACCAAGCTGAAAAGCCACGTGAATATTTTTTTTTTTTTTTTTTTTTGCATGAAGTGTGTTAACACGGTATTCTGTAGGTTGTAGTTTGATTTAACAAACCTCCAGCTTCTCCTTGCTCCTGTTCTTGTCTAGTGCCTTTTTAAATGGTCTAGCATCCTGATTTGAATGGAATCCATTTGTGCCAAGAACATTACAAGACAAAAAAGTGCACCTCACTTTAACTAGACTGGAGGCTTTATTTACCAAAAAATCCATATATCATATTGTATTTTAAAGAAAAAAGAACTCCAATACAGGGCCAGGTACCTGATTTGTTTTGTTAGAGGTTGCCATTACAACATCCTTAACTTTAAACTAACCTGCTAGCAAGAATGTGATACTTGTATGTTCAAGTTGGATTTAAGTGTGTTCACGATTGTTCAATAATTGCCGTGTTGTCTCCCCTCTTTCCAGACTCTGTACACGTACCCAGAGAACTGGCGGGCCTTCAAGGCCCAGATTGCTGCCCAGTACAGTGGCGCTCGCCTCAAAGTGGCCAGCAGCCCCCCTGCCTTCACCTTCGGGCAGACAAACCGTACTCCTGCCTTCCTCAACAACTTCCCTCTGGGCAAGGTTAGTGCAAGTTGGTTTAATGGGATTGCTCCAGTTGGGCAGCTATGCTCGCCTGGAAGGGGCCTTTCACTTTTTTTTTCACAGTAACTCTTGTTTCATTGTCAGCAATGAATTCAGTCACTCATCACTCAGTTCCTGCAAGTACTGCATCCATTAGTCAATTATCAAATGTATTTAGGTAGAAGGGCTAAAAAACAAAACAAACCATGCATGAAACCGCTTGAGTCTTAATAAAAATGTGCTACATATGCTAAATTGTTCAATCTTGTCATTGTTTATAGGTACCCGCCTACCAGGGAGATGACGGCTTCTGTCTGTTTGAGAGTAATGCCATTGCTCACTTCTGTAAGTCTCACATGTACTAATTAAATGGTTAACTTAAGTGTGTTGTGCGCTATCAATTTTGGTGTTTATCCAAAAGGTCTATTTATAGTTTAAAATCTGAAAGGAAGTAGAGTAAATGCCACTAGGTTCATCAGTTTCTCCATGAACACTTTGGGGGAAAACAGATGTCCCCTGTCATTGGGCAAGGCAGTGTCCATCATGGCACCAAGTCTTAATCTGACGGGGGAAGAGAAACTTGAGACCATGTTCATCCCAGTCCACTCTGTTTAGTGAGTAAGAGGCTGGTTCATGCAATGGGCACAACTAGGCTACTGAGTATGTTATGTTGTGGCTCTTTTTCTTGAACAGTGAAGAATTTGGGATTGAATCAACAATTATTAAATTCATAAATTCACTGGTCACTTGTCAATAATTTTCATAGCATTAGATTCTTCTTAGTGGAGAAAACATGGTTCTGTTTCATTTAGGTGTGCCAGTAGGCCAGAGGGGAACTTGCATACCTACATTGAATACAACCATTATTTGTCATACCTGATGTACAAGTTACATTTCTGTTACACTGAATGCCGCATTGTCAGCCTTGCACTAGTCGGCACTTGTAACCACGCATGAGGGAATTAAAACTGAAATACGGAGTAAATCCCCCGGAAACCAAGTTTTTTTTTTTTTTTTTTTTTATTTTTT